ACGGAAGGGCAGACATACTGTCTTGCCACAGGAAGAAACAAAAAAATCATTACCTGAAAGCCAGTTATCCCTCTGACAGGATGTTTCTTTTTACCAACTAAGCATAGCTGTGAATCCAACTGCAAGTGATTCTCTGATGAAAACAAAAACGGAAATCAGCAAAACAGTAAGAACTTAGCCTTCAAATGCTGCCCACTCTTGAAGTTGTTGTGACAAAGACCATAAGCTAATGACAGACAAGTAATTCTGATGTTAAGAGATTAGGATTGCTTCATAAAAGGACGTTTCACTTCCTCGCCAAAATCAGTTCAACGAGATAGCAAAAGTGGCATTTACCAACATTCGTTTATAGAAACAGCTAATTAATATGACTAAGAAAAATGAGGAAATATCAAATATATGCAGAGAACGTAATACCTGAGACATTGTAGAACCGACAATTTCCTGTGATGGAGCCAATTATCCCACCCTGTATTAGAAAAATCATTTATCAACTGAAATTGCTCATCGTTCACTAAATATCTCTTTAGCATGAAACTAGTAACAAAAAGATACCTGCCCATCAGGTCGGTAACACACTGCAGTCACAATTTCTCTAATATCAGTCCAATCAACAACATGACATTCTGGAATTGCCCAGATGCGCACTTTTCCATCAATAGATCCAGTAATGAAATAGCTATTGTCCGCAGGATTGAATTGTACACAAGTCACTATATAAACAACATCAAACACAACAATTTGTGAGAAAATTTTAAACGATTCAAGCAAACTGCTAATTGCCCAACAAGGCTAATAACATATAATAGTGAGCAACGATGGAATAGCAGCAAGGCGCACCATAATTGCTGTGCGAGAAAACTTTCATGCAATGGTCATATCCCACTTGCCATAGCCGGACAGTCTTGTCAACAGAAGATGATAACAGATACTGCACCCAGAAAAAGATGAAATACCAAATCAATTTCTCCATCATTTCGCATATGAAAGACTCTATACCTAGTTCATTGAACAATTGATCTTATGGTATTTACTCACATTATTCTCTGACCAAGAAAGATCCAAAATTTCACCACTATGCCCATGGAACTCGTGCAATGGCTTTTCCAACAACCGGAAGACCTTAGGAGGGAAAATGATGCAAGCTGAATCTGATGTTTTCTTCAGACTCTTAAGTCTGCTCATTTGTTCCTTATCCACAAAGAGGGGCGTCAATTCAGAGAGATTATTCACCGTAAAGTATATGCAGGATGAGTCAATATCAGGAATGTCAGTTTCATTGCATCTCTCATCTTCCACAACTTGCCACACCCGCACAATCATATCTTCACCAGCACTAGCAAGATACTGTCCATCAGGACTGAATTTCATGGTCAAAATTGAACCATCATGAGCTTGAATATCTTGCCCCATATAAAGGGCTGAAAGTTCCTTTTTCTGCCTCCTGCTATGACGGACTTTAACTTTTTGGATCCTACACCGTCGGGCACAATTGCCTTCTTGCCTTCCATCACCTTCCCCGTCAGCCATGCCTGTTATTGAACGTAATTTTTTGAACCAACCCCTTTTGCCTCTTCGTCCCCAGCCCAAAAACATCGGACGCACCATACTCCTTACCTGCCAAATGTTGGGAAGGGGGAGAATCCTCAGATTTGTTCCCACAGTCCCGAGGCGCCCCTGCGACTACGCATTGATCAGAAATAACCTCTTTAACATGCTGACCCTCCAGATCCAAATTATAACTCATTCTCATGTCCAAAATCCCATCTTCACATACCGAGTTCTCCGTGGTACCAAGATCGTCCAAAGAATTTACAGTAGACCAACAAGACATTGATGACCGAATTGAGCAAAACTCCTCCGCAGAATCGAAGGTCACCTTCCCGTTACCTTCTTTGATTCTGTTCATATCTTCTTCCCCCTCAACACCGCTTGCATCTACAGAATTTTCAAGGGCACTTTGATCCAAACCCAGTCCCATCCACTTCATGAATTTACTCCTACGCTCTCGCACGCTCATTGGGCTCCGAATCCACATGTCATAATCCGTACCAGTGCACGTTCCGTAGTTCGAACTTGAATTAGCGTCAGTTGTGTCCGCGTCATCTAAATTTCCATCAGCAATAGACGAAACCTCCTCTTGAGCATCAAAAAATCGGCATTCTTCGTCTTCGCTGAAGCTAGCCATGATTCTTAGAGTTCATTCCACAAGAGTCCATCAAGCAAGCAACATTTTAAGCGCTGTAAACGCGGCCAATTCCTGTTAGGCTGTTAACCCTCCGAACAAGGCCAGCTAGGTAATAAACTGCGAGAGAGAGAGAAAGATGGAGCACGGAACCCAATATCAGCCCACGGAACCTTTTATTTAAAACACAAAACAACGATAATAACAAGAACAAAACAGAAAACGAGAGATCCATCATAGATCCCAATCAAAACCCATTGAACCTGGGATTCCAAGGAACAATAATTCTATAATTTGAATTGTAAATCACTACTAAGAATTAAGAAATTCCCAATGAACCAAGACTTTCGCGATACAAAAAAGACCAAAAGAGTCGCAAACAAACACCGAAAAATCCATTGAGACAAGACCCGGAGATCGTAGGATGATTGCGTTTGAAGAATTGAATCAGCAAATGGAAATTATGGACGAAGTGTTTGCAAAAGCAACAAAAGAGATATTTGTTTTCCTGAATTTCTAAGCAGGCAGACAGAGGTATGGGTAAAACCTGCTTACATGTACTGTTTGTTAATCTCTAGAAGATTGTGTTGAAGCTGAAGAAGACGCAGATCGACACACCCACAGAAGATTGGAGCATTTTGGAGCCCATAAGGAGGAAGCAGATGGAGCACCAGGCAGACGAGAAAATATATGTGCAGAATTTTGATTATTAGCAGAATAAAAAAAGAAATAGAAAATCAGTCGTTAACCATTTAAGAAAGGACAAGGGTAAAACAGGAAAAGAGAACAAACTCATCGATTCTCGTGAAATGGTGGCCCGATAAACGAGATTCCGAGAGCTGGGGTTGTGTTTCTGCGCGTACTCTCCCTCTCTCTCATTTCATCTACTCTCATTCTAAATAAATCTAAGAAAACAGTTTTCTAATTACAATTTATAAAATATAAACTACGTATATAAAATAATTTTTATCTGCCTATAAATATTTATATCGATGATGCCAAAAAAGTACTCCATCTCCTCCACTTCTACTTACATTATTGCAAATGAAGTTATCGTTCATTTTTATTAAAAGCATTTTTACACATCTGAAAATATTATTTTGTTGTAAGAATAAAACAAAAAAAGAAAAAAATAATCTGAAACAATTTTTTCAAGAATAAAATAATTATTATGGGACTTATTTTTAAATATTATACTTGATATTTTACATTACATTATTGATTAATCATGCCGATAAGCCTGTTTTACATTTTTTATACTATACTGATAGAATATGCTTAGAAAGAAATTCTTTTGATTAGAGGCCACCAACTCTGGAATCTGATCCCATGCTAATTGTTAGTATCAACCAAATCACGTGCTTACAGGTTAATTAATGAGTTGTGTTTAGTTTATTTTATTCTTATTTTTTGGCGATATACGTTGAAAATAGCCCGTTCAAGTATGCGTACGTTCGTTTAAAAAAAAAAAAAAAGTATGCGTATGAACGCAGAAATGGGTTAGGTCAAAATCCTAACCTTCCATGGAGTCTAAGTCAGCGTCGCAAATTTTAATTTGACTGAAATTTTCCACGCAGAACGAGGGACCCAATGCGATTTTCACTTTGATTTTTTCCTCATTTTAAATTATTTCCTGAAACCTATATTATTCTTAATATTATTATTAATGTTTATGAGCGGATATACTGAAAGAAAAGACCGGGCATGAAGAATTAGTCAACGGTCAGAGATGAACAAAAAATTGGCGTTTTTGTTTGGGGGTCTGATAATCTCATAATCCATAATTGAGAGGTCCGGCGCAAGGGATGGCCCTCTCGCTGTCACCTCTTTTTCCATCTCATGCGTCCACCCTCCTGTGCTCTTTCTTCGCGCGAGGAATGGGCATTTGCGTCGTCATAAGTTTATCCCCAACAATTCTTTCATTATTATTATTTCATTTATGAAGAATTAATTTGATCGCTGTATTTTTCACTCAATCAAAACTTAATTTTTAAACTTTAATTTGATACAATCTAGTATTTATAGTTTTGATTTAATTGTAAGTTAACGCAACTCATTCCTTTTAATCCTAAATGATTAAAATTATGGAAAGTGAATTGCATCAAATCAAATATAGGAGTTAAGCTACAACCAAGTTAAATTGCGTTGGCAGAAAAAAAAAAAAGAATTTAAGAACTGTATTATATATGAATTAAAATTCAGAGACTATATTACAACCGAATTAAAAATATAGATACCAAAAAAAAATTCTTTTAAATTCATTTTATAGAACCAAGCCCAAGCAGAACAGTCATCATGTACTCTTCACACGTTTTTTTTTTCTTTTTAAATCATGTGTAACGCGTTAGTCCAAGAAGTTACGTTTAAAAAAACACAAGTCTCTTCCATTGTGTTTGCTTTTATAATTAACCAAATTAATTGTAAGTTGTGGATTTTTGTTGGATATGTGTGTATATATCTTCTTCTTTTTTTAACGTCGGTCCAATTGTCAGATCATTTTATGGTCAGTTGGGATGAAGATTTCAATCAAATTATGTACGTGTCTGATGGGTCCTGACTAATAAAAAGTGCTTCCCGGTTCTCATTTTACTATATGAGTTGCCCAAACAACTTGATTCGGTTCTCAATTTGCTTTTTTTTTTTTTTTTAATCCATAACGTGGAATGTTAGAGTTCATATACAGTCGTTTGACCTTTTTTTTTTTTTTTGGTTTGAGAAAAGGGAAGGAAATGTTGATGAAAGGACCTGACTTGCAATACAATAAAAATGATATTAATGCTGATCGACAATTCGCGAGCAATGTCGTCGGCAAAAAAATAAAAAATAAAGAAATTGCGAGCACTGTCTTATTTCACAGAATGGAAAAGAAAAAATGTTTAAAAATGAGTACAGTGGTGGGTGGCAAATGGTTACATGTTTTAGGGGTTTGATGTCTGCTTGAGGACCATACAAAACCCTAAAAAGTCAGAAAGGGAGGGCCTTTGTTGCTTCCAATTAAACCAACAATTTTACTTTCGATCGCTTTTGTCTCATTAGGTCCTGCCCTTTGATAATTACCCCTATTAGAAAAGATGTGCTTTTACAATTAACAAGTCGTCTAAGTTCAAAGTGCGTGGTGCCAATGTCTTGTCATGCAATATTATTACATGATGGATTCGTTGAAGTGAAGGGAGGGAAGTGAAAAAGAGAGATGACTTGGAGAAAGCTGATGATAGTTTAATTATTTTAAAAAAAGAGAAACCGCTTTTTTGATTCGTTCGGAGGCAGGATTAATTAAGAAATTAAGCACCAGTGATTCAGTGTTTGCACTTTTTGGTTTCACTCATTAGGTGTTATGGTGAAATGTAGAGGATATTGCAGACATATGCCGACCGGCTAGACAAAGTAGGTAAATCAAGATGTCCCCCTCATTTTGGTTTTACCCTAAAAGCTAACTTCCGATTAATTTATTTAATTATTTTAGACAATCAATTGATCGATCTCAGGCCCTTCAAAGGAGCAAAGCATCCTCCCATGATATGAACAGCATATGGTTTTGAACTTTTTAATTTGCGATTTAATTAAAGATGCGATGAGACACAATGATTATACTTTTGAAACAAGTTAGAGGCTTCAATATCGAAGAGGCATATTGTAGTCTTGATCAGGGGGAAATAAGCTGAAAGAAAACGAGTTGCATGTAAATTGGTGCAATGAGTGAAAAAGAAATTATCACAGTCTGCCAGACAACAGCTATAATCATGGTCGGGAAAATAAAACTTGAACGACCGATATCTTTATATGTTACATATAGGTGAAATTTTAATAATATTTGTAAGATCCGATGCACGATGGGAAGTGGAAGGAAAATTAGTCTTTGATTAGCCAAAAATATGATGTCGGGACACGTACGTGCGAAAGCCACGTGCAACCTCTTGGTGTTGGGGCAATGGGAACGACCCTGAGGAGGCATACTTGGTGTAAGACACGGGTCCATCGTGTTTGACTTATTCACCCCCGGCTCCCTCAGGAATTCCGAATTTACAGCTTAACCCCTATCATTCTACCATTCACCCTGCATTCATCTTTTTTTTTTGGTTAAGTTTAGAATATTCACCGCTGTAACAATAACTAATCACTTCAAACAATAAACTTCCTGAAGAGGCTTTAGTACTAATCATGAGACTTTCTATACATACTATTACAGAATGAATCCCTAATTACATGTTTTAGGAACCCAGCTAAGTAATAACTGCGTCAGAATTGTGATTTGATTTAATCTAATTTTCAATTTGGCTTCTGGCTGACTAACCAAGGATGCTGGTCTTCACACTTCGTTACGTTGCTGCTGATTAATACATATATGTGCGTGTCAAATTAGGATTTAATTTTATCCATCTTTGGCTACACACACATGCATCATGGACTAATGATCCTCGGTTGCCATATTTTGAAAGGGAAGAAATTAAATAAGCGACACACAACAGCCAGCTAGCCTGGTTCTGCATGCATTTATAATAACTAATGGGTCAGTTCATGCATATTCCTGTCTTCTCTTCTCTCAGCAGTCCACGCTAGCTGTAACTCTCTCGTGCATTACTCTATATATATAGTATCCTTCCCTAATTCACGTTTCCCCCTTCATTGATTCCTCAGTCCATCATTAATATTCCATTACTACCTAATAAGCATATTGGTGATTTTTTTAGCCACCCTTACGCTTATGAAGCTAATTAATCAGCAGACAACATATGGCTGAGTTTTGATGATTTTCACGCCTCACTCGCATGTACGTAATTAATCATTAATCAGAGCGCAGTTTTAATTAGCAAAGATGAACCAGAAAATTCTCAGCTCTTATATAGAACCCATTTATTGCTAAACAAAATTAAGGCAAAATAATGAATGAACGGATTGAGAAAGAGGACAAGTGATGATGAGGTGAGGAGTGGGGAATAATAATGAAAGGCGGGAATATATGACTGCATAAATGACCGGATGCATGAAATGAAAGAGTGGGGCAGCCGACATAATATTTAAAATAAATAAATAAATCAAACAATTAAAGGAATGGGAAATGAGGGGGCTGATCTGTTAGTGATTAGTTGCAAACCCACCAAACAATATTGATTATAATAATGTTGTTTCTTATTTGATGTGTGTCTGGCCGACAATAACTCAATGCCCTCCTTAACGTGGATGCCCTCCTTGCCATCGATTTTTCACTTTAACAACCCCTCCTTCTCTTTCTTAATTGCTCTTTTCGCTCCCCTTTTCAAAACCCACAATCATTTTCATCCCCGGCACTTCATCTCTTAACCCGCTTCCAAATCATTAAAATACTCGTAAACCCACACTCCGAGGGTATTATTCTATATTTACAGTACGCCATTTTACTCCGTATATCAAATTTAATATTCTGTTGAATTCACGCTATCTAATTTAAATATAGCTCACTTTCAATCTCGGATCAAAACAAACCCAAAGGGAATATATTTTTATAAGCAACAATAATGATTAATCAATGATAAAGAAACATTGAAAATCCACACACACACACACATATATATATATATCTGTGGTGAGGTGAGCTGAATTGAGAAATAGAAAACGAAGAAAGCTCCCCAGAAAACGATAAAAATGAGTAGCAATAATAATTTGCTGCAGAAAGACACATCTTTTCTATCTGGAAGTGTAGGTAAAAACACACTACCAGTAAGAAATGCAATAAAAAAAATAGGTAGGTACGAGAAGGGCCTTAATGTCCAAAAAAACACTTGTAGGG